ACCAGTAAGAATAATCAGTGTTCATCAGATCATAACGAGATCATTTTCCTTTCTCATAACACATCACATCACTGTTCTGTGTCGTAATTTGACATTTTTCAAACACAGCTCAGCGTGCACAGCGTATGACACACGCACACCAGTCCTAACGCTGTTATCAACGCTTGCTGACTCTCTTTGTCTCCACATGTTTCTATCAGCTGTTGGCCGGCCTTCATGTTAGAGCCGACCTGTGACCCGGCATGCCACAGGCCTGTACACATGGCTGGCCGAGTCATCCATCCGTGTGTGTGAGTCTGTGTGTGTGTTTATGCCGGTGGCTCTGTTGGCGCTTGTTTGTATCGAGGCTCTTCATCGCTGTATTAGTAACGTATGATTTCTTCGGGTGCGTGTGTCCGTCGCCGTGCGCCCGTGGACGCTCACGGACACAAACATCCTCCCGTCCGGCTGCCTTTCAGGCTGACCTGCGCGGGGCAGGACTTTAAATAGCCGCCTCACACCTGTAGGAAGTTCTGCGTCTCCATATGCTGCGTTATTTTCAGAGTGTGTGTTCTGGACTTCAGGGTCACTGACAGTTTGGTGGTCGACACATTGCCGGCGGACGCTTCAGGTCAAACAGCCACCGGGACGCCCCTCGTTTCTCGTCGAACTTCCTTCAAAGACAGTTTGTCCTCGTGGGGTCGACCTCGGAGCTCCGCCACGAGAGCTCCCATCGTGCTCCTCTTCTTCTTCTTCCCACAGTTCACTGCGTTTTCTGCCACTAAGGGAGGGTCTGGGTTTAGAGGCATAATCACACAGGCATGTAGAGACTGTACATATGTGCACAAACAACTCAGAGACATCACAGGAACTGCCTCTGGTTTCCAGGCTTTCTGCGCACCGTCTGCTTCCCATTAATTAAGTGTACAGACAGCAAACAGCATCCATGTCGCGCACATGTATGTGTTGGTGGATTAGCTGTGTCCTGTGGAATCTGTAGTTTCATTCATCAGCTTCATACGTACGGCAGTGGCGCCGCTCCCAGACGTCGGCTCCGTTCGGCACGTCTGATTTGTTGCAACCAGAAGCGAGTACGAGACGTTTTTTTCTGGGACTTTGGTCCAGAAATGTCCAAACCTCACTTCAGTGATGTTACACCGAGTAACGAATCGACAAAGGAGCAAGTTTGTGTTAAAGCAGAGGAAACATTCACACAATTCCCCTCAAGTCACATGCAGGATTAAAAAGCTGATTCACATAAATCTATATTATATTTTCCTCCAGTACTTTCCAGAGTGGTATCTATTCACGCTGATAGTTTGGGTTTTATTTGCCGAGGTTGTGAGATTTCTGTCACCGTGGAGTCAAAGTGAAACGGCGTCTTTGTTCACGAGTACTGTAGGTTCTGCTTTCTTCTTTCTGTATCTGTAACTGTCTGAGTAACCCTCGATGAGCGTGACGTCAGTAACGAGTCCTTCGTTGTGTTTTTCAGGCCTCCAGTCCCAAGCTGACGACTCACTGCTCAGATATCCAAGAAGTCCGTCGTTGCAACCGACTGGAGATGCCCGACAACTTAAACACATTCGTTTTAAAGGTTTGTACAGCTTCTCGGCTAAAGTGGAAATAAAATTACGTCCTCGGAGACTCTCTGAACTCTATTTTCAACATTACGGTTGATGGAGATCTTCCACCTTTAGTCCAACATAGAGACGAAACAGAACAATCATTTTGCAAAATCGCCCAAATTTACATCTTGATGGTTTAAACGTGGAACATATTCAACCCAGATTTTTCAACCTTAACACAGAAATTATAATAAAACGTCCAGAGACTTTGCTGCTGTCTATGCATTCACTCCATCAACTGTTAACAACGCTGAAGCACTACATCCCCTTTTGAAACTTTACTTTAAAATGTGCATTCAGCAGCATTTTAGTGAAGCTGTGTTTGTTTACTGAGCACGTGGATGGACCACAGAGGAGCGGATGAGGGTTTTCTATGAAGAATGTTTTTATATTTATGTATTTATTAGTAATGAAAACCGTTCGTCAACCTCTGTTCACAGTTATGAAAAGAGGTGCAAAGTTTTCACAGCACACCATTTGATTACCGTTTCACACGTCAGCTGTGAAGCGTGTGTCAGCTTATCTGTGCTTTTCCTCCTCTTGAAGGAAACGCTCTCGTATAGCAGGTGTAAACAATTTAAATCTGAGCCGCTCAGCAAGGTTCCCTGAGACGGTTTGACTCTTTAATGGTGAATCCTTAACGCTGTAGGCTGCTTGCTGTTATAAAGGTGTTTTTCTTCTCTGTGTATTTATAATATATCTGCTTTTCTAATGGTTTTGCTGTATTGTGTGTCACCTGGTCAGTCTTCTTGCACTTTGAAATTTGTTTTCAAACTCGAAAGCTTTAAGATGGTGAATCACTTTGAGCCTGTTTTTTGGTGTTTTAAATAAGCTACAAAAACAACTGACCATATTCATAATGCCAATATAAAGCCCTCACTGCACTGTCAGTCTGTGTGGCTTAATGTAACACGTTTCAGTGATGCAGATGGTATATTTGACAGCATCTTGTCGTCTGCAGGTTAATCGAGGTAGTCTGATTTTTGAGACGGACAACGACCAGCAGGTCAGCTCCTGGACCACAGAGCTAAAAGAATGTATCAGCAACAGGTGAGAAGCACGTCCAACACAAATGTTTTATGTTCAGATATGAGGAATCTACAAAATTGTGTTGTTTGTTAGGACAAACTGAACTAAAGCTACTCAAGGTTTTTATTTTTTGTGTTATAAGCGAAGTCAAAACATCACATCCATA